GGATTTTTTACAAGCAAGTTTTAATTTTTTCATTAGTTTACGTGTAACAATTTTAAAATTGTAGTTATTTAAAAAAGTTCTTTAAATTAACTTGAAAATAATTATTCCGTAGATGTTTAAAAAAAGAACCGCGGAGTACCCTCATTTAATTTTAGTAAAATTATTTTTGGATTCGTTTAGAAAACTCTCACAAAAATTTAGCTGTCGCTTTGAACCACTTTAGGAGTAATTTTATTTTGTTTACAGCCACCAAATAATCTATTCGCATCAGCTGATTGAGAAATAACAAATATAAAAATACAAAAGCGAACCGATGAATCTCCAAGTTTTTAATTTGCTACGAAACCCCCATGTTGTCCAAAGTCAACCTGTACAATATTTTTCTCATAAATTATTTATTTCATATAAGTATCAAAAAGTAAACATCATGTTTCATATCAAAGTGGATAAAATAATTTTTCGCAGGGGTCGGTAAATTTATATTTTTATTAATGCTCTTATTTTTGCTTAACTTGTTTTAAACCATCATATAATATCAGTGGCGGACGGGAGAGGGAGGGGCGGGGGGTGGAGGGTTTGGAAAATTGGGGAAATTCTGTAAAAAATTATGAGTGACATATTTTAAATCCGAAAATATTTCAATTTTCCTGAATAACGTGAAATATCATTACAAGACTATATAATAGGTTCGTCCCACAAGCTACTTGTAGAAACACTCGAGCAAAGTTAAAACTGTGAGCGTATATCAAAGAAACTCGAAAACTTACCTGTGGAGCGCGTATATGTAACTCGAAGTGACTTCAAGTAGCTTGGGGAACAAACCAAATGAATGGATGCTTTTGAAAATTTTAATTCATGGAAAAAGTGTGTCAAATTTCACTTGAGTTTGAAATTTTAGCTGTGTTCTAAGCTTGAAGTATCATGTTATTTGAGTAGGGCTATCAGTTTTTCGAAATCACTGAATTTTCAAAATTTTGAAATTACATACTTAATTCTCAGTTTTTACTTTTTTGTTGTATTTTCGAATTTGCATTATTTCACACAGTTGAAAGTCACAGCAAGTTTGAATATTTTCACAGGTTTAGAAAACAACGAAAACTCCAAAATTTTGAATTTTATAAAATTATTAAATTTCTTGAGATTTCTTATTTTTAGAATAGTTTCCAAAATTCCAAAGACTATCGAAATCCGGGAGATTCTAGAATTTTAAAACTTTTTGTATTATCCAAAATTTTGAGAATTTTATTTAATCTAAAATCCATCCTAAAATGTAAAATTGAGAAACATCACAAATTGTCGAAACATTCTTATGTTCATGGTACTTGTCTGTAAAAAATAGAAAATTCTTAGAATTCTAAAATATATTAACATTTTTGAAAAATTCCTAAATTTTTCCACTTTTCTGAACTTCTGTGTTGATATAACAAAGTTTGAGAATTTTAAATTTTTTGAAAATTGTGAAAACATCAACGTCCAAATATTTTTTGAATTTTCAAGAATTACGAAAATTTTTAAATTTTCAAAAACGACGAAATATGAAAATGTTTTCAACATTCGAAAACTTTCATTTCGATTAATCAATTTTGTACATTCGACACTTTTACTTAGAAAAAATTTGCTAGAATTCCTACAATTCTCAAAATTTTTGAAAAATAAAAAATTTCCAGAAAGCTATTATTCATCACTATTGGCTGCCGAGATAGGTCGATGTTGTACTCAGCCATCGAAGTGCACTCGAAGGTTTGCCATTGCCTTTCGAGGAGCGACAGTTGTCAGAAAAGACTTCTTGTAATTTAGAATGTTGCCCGGTCCAATTAAGCTTAGAATAAATTCAAATCAACTTTGATGAACCATGTTAGAAAACTCACTCAATGTTAATGCGCTGTTATAGTTTAAAAAAGACTGTACAACTATAAAAAACATGTTTAATTAGAAGTAAATTTTAGAGAAAAAATGATTGAAAATAATGAAATATGCAAATAAATAAATGCCTGTGATACAGTTAGTTTTAATTAGCTTCTATTTTTACCCTTTATTTTAATTCTAAAAACTCTCGAGCATTGTGCAATATAAAACATAAAACAATATAAAACTTGCATACTATATACATACATACAATACTATATACGTACGTACATGCAGCTGAAATGCTTTTTCGATTACTATGCCACTACTTTAATTGTTGATAAGCTTCTTAATTAAATCGAGTGTCCATATGTACATACATATGTGTGAACACTATTTAGAAATAAATATACTTCGACTTTTACGCCTGGTTCAAGTGGTATTGACGTTATCGATACTCGCCCCTTTGTTTGGACAACGCTTAGTTAAATTGGGAAAATATGTTTTCACTATTGTTGAAGTATCAATTAGTAAATTGCTTTATCTGATAACAAGTAAGGCTGACTTTTAATGTGATTCAAGTTATAAGTGTGGCATTTGTTCAGCGTTAAAAATCGCAAATAAGTTTAGTGAAAGTGTAATTAAACAAAAAGATTATGCTACATATCGAACCCTTACCGTAATTTCGATGCAACCAATGTAAACATATTTACATTTTTGACCTTGAACGAAAGTGTTTTTTTATTCAATCTATATCAAAATGATATTATGACCGCAAGTATTTACACCGTGCCACAAAAACAAACAAAATTTCAAAACACTCGAAAGAATCGGTATACTCACGAAACTATGGGCCAAATATAGTAAAACGGAGTTTTTAGTTTTTCACTTTGACGTCAGGATTATTTTTTAAAGGACTTTGAAATTTTAGAGATATGATTAATTAAAAAAATTATTTAAAAAAATTAGTGCAATGTAGAATTTTAAGCACTAAAGTCTTTCGGTTTACACAGATGAATATGTATTGAAAATGCGCTTTAAATAAATTTTATCTTGTTAAGTTAATAAAGTTTGCAGGACGAAATTCGATGATGTGGTCGTGTGCATATTAGTACTCAAGGATTTAAGGATTTTTAAGGACCAAATTTGTAAAGGACATTTTCCATACCCATTCGTCCTTATGCACCAAAAAATTTATTCTGTTACAATTTTACATAATTTTTTCCTATATTTGGTACCCATATTTTTATTCTACATTGCACTGTAAACATATTTTTTTAATTCAAAAGTCCTGTAAAAATATCTTGTTGTAAGAGAGAAAAACTAAGTACGCTGTTTTACTATAATTTGCCCATAGTTTCGCGAGTATATTAATTTTTTTGTGTGTAAAATTTACTGTCGCACGGTGCTATCTCTCTATATTCTCTATTTTACGAGTATTTAAAAAATGTTAATCACAAGTGTTATGGCCCTATTAGATATGTACGGCGACTGGTGTAGTAGCCATAGCTACCAGCATCGTACCTTGTAATGGGTGATTTTTTTGAGGTTAGGATTTTCATGCATTAGTATTTGACAG